GACAGACAGACGGATGGATGGATGGATGGATGGATGGCTATTGCCAAAACCTTTTCCATCATCATCTCCAGTCCTATATGCATACATGTATATTTTTGTTAATTAATTCAGTACAATAAAATTGTACACATGTACACATTTCTTAATTTGTTTTAAATCTTAACTCAAGAAATTCTGATAGATTTCTTGCAAGGGGAAAGTAGTTAGATTTATAGTATGACACCACTGTGTATTTTTTAACTTCCATTCCAGAAAAACACCACCAGAAATTGGCGTAGCTGATTGATAGGTAGCTCATCACTGACTGACACATTCTTTCATGCCTGTCCACTTCTGACTTGCTTCTGGTTACTGCCTCATATCTGTGACTTTTTCCCCACTTTAGCAATGACTGGCAGGAGTTGCTGGAAATGACAAACTACAAAGGCAAACAGTTGCAAGATGCTGAAGTAATTTACAAGTGCCTGCAGGACTTGATGGAAGCTCTCAGCCACATTGAGGTGAAAATTGCATCAGAAAACAGACACAAACACTGTCTTTTTGAGGCTCAGATCAGATATGGAACAACAACCATTCATTTCTATTTGTTTGCCTAGCTTTTCCACTCTAAGTAAACTTGATGGCTGACAATAAATGTAAAATTATAGTATGGTGAACATTTACATTTGCCCATAACATTTTTAAATCAGGAAAATATAAAAGGGGAAATAAAAACAGTTGTCCAATATTTTATTCCCATATTTCTTTCATATATACATATAGAAATGTAGAAATTTGGCTCAGATGAATAAGGGAATTAAATTGTACTCCACAGCATAACATACTTTTTTCTTCAGCCACTTTCTTTCCAGTATCAAAGATAGGTTCTAGAGCAAAGTGGGAGGGAGGGATTTAGATCACCTTATGGGTAATGTTGTTTATTTATAAATAGACTCCCACATCTGCAAAAGAAAGGAGTTTTATGTATTGCCTATCTTAAAACAAAACCAGACCAGAGTGATTAACAGAAAATGTGTTTGGTCTTTAGGACAAATTGAAGACCATCCCAGATTCCATTGCAAAAGATCTAAATGGGGTGCAGTCACAGCTACGTAAGCAAGCAACTCTTGAGCATGAATTATTTGGGAATGAGCAACAGGTAAGATATACTGCAGTCCTAAAAAAGTGTATTAAGAAAATTTACATGACTGTCCAACTCACAGCAACTCTGGGAAGCTTACAGATATAATGGTCTTTGTTTTGAATGTGCCTGCATTCTTGTCTTCTAAATATGATATGCTTTAAATATGAGTTTGAACTGAAACTAATCATCAGCAAGATGCCATCAACAAGTGGTTGATGCATTAAACTAGGAGCAGGAAAGCCAGGTTATAGTCTATCTTCAGACATGGAAATTCATTCGGTAACACTAGGCCAGCGACCCTATGTTAATGTAAGTTATTCCAGGGAAAACTAGAGGGTGCAAGTGCTAGGTATGCCACCTTGAATTCATGAATGAAATATGGGATACCATCATCATTATCTTTTAATGACTGTGCTGTCCAGACAGTTTATAGTTAATTGGGAATTGGGATAGTTAGTTAGGAACTGGGAGCTGTCCCTTAAGGTAAATGAGTTAAGGCATCCTGGGAAATGTAGTCCATGTCATGTGGTCACATCTGTAATCCTGATTGGTCACTGAATTGACCCTTGGTGGGTTGGGGGAGGTTCCTTCACTCTTGCCTGGACCCCAGCAGCATGCTGGTGCCTCACCCTGCTTGCTCCTTCATTATGGGGATGAAAAGAGCACTATCCTTTTACACTATGAATTCAGCTATGCAAAGATTTGGACACTGAGATGAATCTCAACGTAACCGTGAATTATATATGAGGATACCTGATGAACCAATAAAGAAACTTTGTATGGATGCTTTGTAGAGTTATCTGTCTGCCTTTATACATTCAGTCAGTAATTATAAAGGACAGAACAATGACCTCATAATCCTTGCGGGGTAGAGTCTGGGCAACTGAATGGAGCTGAGTGTTTACTGGCCGGATGCCCTTCATTTCATCAATGCGGAGTTTTGTTCAGCAAATATATTCTTATTGTGCCCAGAGAGAGAAATATCTGCCTCTATCTAGGATCAAACTCACAGCCTCCTGATTGTGAGGCGAGAGCTCTACCTCTAGGCCACCGCACCACTTGAATGAGATATGAGACATAAATTTAATCAATGAACCAAGGAAGAAAGCACATGTCTTGAACCAGGACATTCTCAGAGGGTTCTTTCAAGTGCTATGGATGAGATGGATCGAGTCCTTCCTTGCCTTGAAATGGGGATATCCCACCTATAGCTCTTTTATCTCCTTACCACCCAGGAGGAGAAATGATATGAATTACCAGGCTGAGACAGGGGTGGGATTCTACAGGTTCGCACCTGTTCGCTAGAACCAGTTGTTAACATTCTAAGCAGTTCGGAGAACCAGTTGTTAGAAGAAATTACTGGCCTAATCCTGTAAGGAAGGCAGGAAGGAAACATTCTGGTGTTGCTTACAGAAACTGCCTCTCCGTTAACCCTTATTACATTCTTGGCAGGACTAGACTTCCTGTCTCAGGAACTTTTTTCCCCCTCCTTTGCTGGTACTTTGCTTGTGTGGTGTGACCATTTAAAGTTACAACGGCACTGAAAAAAGTGACTTATGACCATTTTTCACACTTACGACTGTTGTAACATCCCCACAGTCATGAGAGGCCAGGCGAGGAGGTGCGTGCCTCGATGTGAGTGATATTGAGTTGGCCATGCCCAGCCAATAACATGACCACCAAGCCACGCCCACCAACTAAGCCATGCCCACAAAACCAGTTGTTAAAAAATTTGAATCCCACCCCTGGGCTGAGACCTTTGGGAAAGGAGAGGAAGCTCCGTAGCTGCAATCCCAGTCCACCCAACATTGCCCTTACTTTCACCTCCCCAGTATTTCTCCAACAAAACTGCCTTGTGAGCTGCTAGCTTCAGCGATTCTTCCTCCCCCTCCTTTTTGGAGGAAGAAAGGGAAAGAGGATGAACATACTGAGTAGAGAGAAGAAGGAAAAGCAGCACTTGGCCTGACAGATTTGCTGATAGACAAACGGGAGGCAGTCATGTCTTCAGAAACAAAAACGATTTGGCTGTCTTCTTCGTCTTCCTGACAGTGCTATCAGACTATTTCTCATATAGACATGACAGATTGTCCTCATGGGCTACTTAATACAGCCAGCTGCAGATATTGTGCCAGTTTCAAATCCCCAGCTAGTGTAAATAGACCAGACAGAGAGTCTGTTTTAATAGTTTAATTTTCTGAGGTCTGTTCGTCCCTGCAAACTGAAATTCAAGACACTGGCTGCTTAATGAAGTTCTGTATAGAGTGGAGTGGAGACATCCATCATCTGGAAAGATGTCACTGATGGATGGGTTTCTAAACTTTATTTTAAAAGTTAAATGATTCACTTCATCTTTTTTCCTGTTTTGCAGCTGCATGTTTTGATTGATACAGCAGATGGCGTGCTCTACCTGTGCTCTGAGAGGCAAGCAGCGGAGATCAAGGCAAAGCAACAGGCCTTAATGGAGAATTGGGAAATTTTGCGGTGTAAAGTGGAACAAAACAGGGAGCAGCTAGAACACGCTTGCAGATTATACCGCTTCCAAACCTATGTGAGGATTTCAATGTTCTTTTCTAAAAAAAAAAAAATTAAAATCTTATACTATTCTGTTCTCCGGTTGTTTTGGCCAATATTTTCCAGAATGGTGAACTAATATTCTGCAACTGAACCACAGAATTGCACACGTTTAATTGCAGACTATTGTAGCATGTACCTGTATTAACATATCATTTATAGCCTACATTCTAAAGATGCATGACCCTGCTTAGGTCTTGTGGAAAACAAGAGGCCTTTTGTATTGCAGGAGCTTCTATGAGGCTAAAGGTTGACATCCATCTTTTATGTGAATCTATTGAATGTTTAATATAGTATTGCCAGCATAATTATTATGAAAAACTCATATAGTCTTCCTATATGGTTTCTTCTTATATCATTACTTGTTTTTCCTCCCCTTTATTGTTAATCACTGTGTTTCTGTCATATTAAAATGGAGCTGGAAAAAAAATCCCTCTCTCAAACCACGGAGATCCATACCATTAACTGGGTTCGCATACCATAAAAAGCCATTATGTGATTATGTGGGATAATTCTCCAAAATGAAATGAAAACAGACTGATATTACATTAGGCATTTAGTAGCACAAAATCAGGAACAAATGGAAACTATATCTCCTGCCCAAGATTTACCCCCAAGCTTTATGCAAAGCAAGAACAAAAAAGAGGCACAGGAAATTTGAACATGAATCGGTATAAATAAAACTTGTATTTGATGCACAGTAGTTACATAAATTCTTTTGTAATTGCTTTATAGTTTTGCTGCAACTTAGCTGGATTTATTTGCCCAAGGACATATATTCTATATTTGGTAGATAGACTTGACAGTTTTTTTGTCTGAGGCAAAACACAATGTGTGAATCCATAAATCCATTTTAGTGCTATGTGTGAACTGAGCTACAAGAAGTGTCATCTGTTACCTATATTGCCATATAAGGACATCTTACATTTTCCTTTCGTCAATTTTAAGGTATGGGACTATTGTTCCTGGGCATCTGGGATGATAAGAGAAATGGCAGCTGAGGAGACCATTCGAGATGTATCTACCAGTGGTCTGAAGATTAATCAGCTTCAGCAGCTATTGTCAGAGATTGAATCTCGAGATGAGATTTATGAGCAAGTGTCACAGCTGGGACAAGGCCTTGCACTGGATCAGAAAATGGCAACAGGAGAAGTATATATACTTTATCATCAATCTTGTAACTTTGCACAGAGCTCAGACCACCAATATTTCCACAAAATTAGCATGTTATGAATAAGTTTAGATATTCTGTGAGATAAAAACCAAGCAAGATATGGTGCTTTTCAAAGGAAAAATGAGTTTTATTAAAACACACCCACCTTCCTCCTCATGTATAAACAGACAGTTGCTGTAATTATAATTGGAAATTGAGCCTCACTGTATTTCTGTTAACAGCAATATCAACCATTGCCCCTTCATGGATTATTACTGACATTTTATAGCTGTTGGCTTCTTCTTTTCAGATCCAAAGTGTATTAGAAACTCTGATAGAGGCAAAGCAGAGAGTCTACCAGGTATGGGCACAAAAGAAGGAATGGCTTGAGAAGATCCATCTTTTGCAGATATTTTACCGAGACTGTGAATACCTGGACAACATCTCAAACTCTCAAGAGGTAGTGCTAGCACATGCTTTATTGGTGTTGTAATGCCTTATAAGGTATATTTTAATCTATTAAGTACTTAATCTCTTCCTTTTGTCCTATGCTCTATCTATTCCTTTTATCTTCCACGTAGGTATAGAAAACTTACCATATTAGTAAGAAAACATTTGCTTTTGATCAACCTTATTGTTAGCCCTAAAAGGAAATTTGGTATCTGACTTTTTAATAGCATGGTCAATAATACATCTGTGCAAGGATATATGATGTAAAATCAATCCCTTAATTCTAAAAAAAAAAAAACCTATTGCAGAATAATAGAATAATAGAGTTGGAAGGAAACTTGGAGGTCTTCTAATCCAGCAGTCGCCAACCGGTGGGCCGTGGCCCACTGATGGGCTGTGAGAAAATTTTGGTGGGCCGCAGAGAAATCTCACCCCCAGAGTACCCCCACAAAGCAATTAATCCAGGCTGTGCAGAAACACAAGGCTACTCAGCCCACATGGCCCGCAGGAACCCTCCCCGTCCACTCACTCCTTACCCGGCAAACTTGTCTGCTAAGTTGCTATTTTTCCTTTTTCCGACCGTCATCTGTTCTGCTGTGCCGGGAGATTTAGATTAGCTAGGAAGCAGGAAATGGTTGGATTTCTTGCTTTCTAGCTAAGCACAGCCAAATCTCCCTTAGAACCGAAGGTTTGCTTGCAAGCAAATTCAGTGCAGACTCACGGCAAGCAAATCTGAGAGACTGAGCTAACCGATGGCAGATAGATAGATCACTCAATGATTCTGTGAGCAACTCAATCTGCCTGTTTTGCCTGATTTTGGATAAAAGTTGCTTTTTTATATAAAAAAACCAATATTTACATACATGGTATGAGTTAATTTTGTGAGTTTGCTTGCTAGCAAATTTTATGAGTTTGCTTGCAAGCAAATTTTGTGTGACAGACTGAGCTAGCCGATGGCAGATAGATAGATCTCTGAATGAATCTGTGATTCTGTGAGCACTTCAATCTGCCTGCCTGCTTTTCCTGATTTTGGGTAAAAGTTGCTCTTTTTTTATAAAAAAATCAATATTTATATAAATATTTATAATATTTACATACAAGCCATGCCCAGCCAGTCACATGACCACCAAGCCACACCCACAAATTAGGCCACACCCACAGAACCAGTTAGTGGTCCCTGGGATCTAAAATTATGAGTTTGGTGGTCCCTGAGGTCCAAAAGGTTAGCGACCCCTCTTCTAATCCAACTCCCTGCTCAGGCAGCAGACCCTATACCATTTCAGTTAAATGGTTATCCACTCTCTTTTTAAAAAACTCCTGTCATGGAGCACCCACAACTTCTGAAGGCAAGCCATTCCACTAGTTTATTGTACTCACTGTCAGGAAATTTCTTTTTATTACTAGGTTGTTTCTTTCCTTGATTAGTTTCCATCCATTGCTTCTTGTCTTGCCTTCTGTGCTTTAGAAAATAGCACAGCCTCAGGCATTACAATCTGCTACTGAGTTTGGTCAATGTAATGGCATTCAATGTTTGTTTTTTAAATCAGTAGCTGCCAAGGAAAGCATCAGGAGTTAGTTGTTGTAGCAGATGAGAAAGAAGAAATTATTCCTTTTCTACATATCATGGTTCAGTTGAAAATTACTTCCCTGGTAGCTGCTGTAGTGTCCCAGATGGGAAGAAACTGTTAGCTGCTGATAGTGTAAACACTATTACTCTCTGGCCAAAATAACAGTTTCTGCTACTATGCTAGAACAGGGGTCCCCAAACTTGACAACTTTAAGACTTGTGGACTTCAACTCTCAGAATTCTCCAGCCAATTTATGCTGACTGGAGAATTCTGGGAGTTGATGTCCACAAGTCTTAAAGTTGCCAAGTTTGGAGTCCCCTAGTAGAGAAGGTTTTTAGTGAATCCAAGGTACAGGTCAGAAAATCTTAAACTCATTTCCATCCGGGGTAGAGTGCAAGCTCATTCTACATTTAAAGAAAACAAATTCTTGTTTAATAGGGGGATTTTTGGGGGGTTGTTGTTATTGTTCTTTGGAAAGGAGACCCAAAATATTTCATTTAAATTCTTACGTTTTCCAGTCTTATACACCAAAGTTTCAGGTGGAGCTTTCAAGCAGCTTTATCGCAGCCAGGTTAACCCTTGTTAAGTTGCACGATACTAGCAGAAAGCAAGCATTTAAAACTGAGAGGGCAATGCCCCATTAAACTTTTCAACTGTATTTGGAAAAGGGAGCGTGTGGATGGTGTCAACTGCGTGTGAATATTTTTTTTTTTTTTGTCGCAATGAATCTTGATTGAACTGAACCGTGTCTCTAAATTTATGTAAAGGCTATCCCAGCAGTGGCATATGAAAGAAAGAAAAGCATTGGGTCATGTTCCGAATTAGAGTGCTTTCCCATTCATTTCTTGTGCCAGTGTGTCTGACCTTGATTTTACGCCAACAGCTTAGGTTACATCCAAATTACTTAAGGCTTCAGAAGATTTCAGCAAGGTTTAGTCTAGGATTTCTCTGTCCTAAAGTAAATAACAGCACATATGGAGGAAATTAAGCAAGTATATATCTGTCTTTTTTATTACTGACTCTCTGGGTATGCCATTACTTGGAAGAGTTGTAGGAAATTTTTCTTTCTAAGACTTGTTAAGCAGAGAAACTGCTATTCCTTGTGGAGATTGAGAGAGGGATAAAGAACATTATAGTGCAGCTCTTTTGCTTTTAGCACCAGTGGAGCATACTGTATTCTTGTCTTTCAAGGCTGTAGAAGCACCGGTGAGTTAATAACTTAATTTTTTTAAATCTAAGAACCATTAATTAGGTTTTGGATGATACATCTGGCTTCTGCCTCATCATCTTGATTGGGTTTTTTTTCCGTTTGCTGCATGCTCCTATTATTTTGCAGACTGAATGAGCAGTTGTGCCAATTCTACTACGTCTCATTCTTAATCAAATACAGATGCCTTCATTATAGAAATACTTCTTTACATTTCACTTATTCACCTCAGAGGAAGAATGGAAATCTCTACTGCCAAGCTAAAAAGGGTGAAACATTTGTTTTAAGCAACAGCTCAGAAGCAGAGACTGCTTATCTTTTCAAACCTTAGGATTAAAAACTGCAGGATGCCATGCAGATATCTTCCTAACAAGTCTTCAGGCACACCCATCTATATTTCTACAGTGGAAGTTATGTTGTCTTCTGCCAGAGTGGTCCCATCACCGATCTCCAGAGCTGCTGTTTATGGTGCTTCTTTCCAAAGGATGCCACCTGCAGAAAATATATCAGACTCAGCTTGGTATTTTCCAGCTCATTCATCATCTGCAGAGACCTTATCAATAAGTGACAGCTTGCCTTCTCCCTGCCTGTCTTCAGAGGTTCACAGCTCAAGGCTGGATATAGTGTTGGCACATTCGAAGAAGAGGAATAGTTTAAAGAAACATAACAGCTGTATTAATTCCTCCACTTTCAAGTCTGCCGGTCCCACACTTTTGAGAGAGACTCGATGCAAAGAATACAACAGCATTGATGCTCAGTCATTGCTTGTCTCCAGCAGTGGTGCAAGTGATTGGAAAGGAAATGACTGGGATGCTTGTCATTCTTCTGCAATAGCTTTCCATTCGGCTGCTTCAAAAGCTCTACCATGCTGGACATCACGTCTAGATGTTTCTCTGTGTGCCATTCCAGATGCTTCATCATCTCAGAATAAAGATCTGTATCAAATTCTTGCACCTTGTAACTTCAAGTCAACAGGGCAAAACTATAGCCAGTGCAATTCTCAGTTTTCAGATCTCCATGCTTCAGTAAAACTCTATATTTCAACTTGCAGTGTTGCTATCAAACCAATAAGAGCTGCTTATTCCAGCGTTCTAGTACCTCATCTGAAAAAGATCTCAACTACATCTCCTGGTCTTACAAGAGGAACCCAGAAGAGTCATCAAGATATCCCTTCTGGAAACACTGCAGATCACCAGGTTCAACAACCTCATGTCACCAATTGCACTACATGCCCCATTCTTCCTCCACAGACAGCCTTCAAAAAAGTATGGTTGACTCCATCTACATTAGCTAAAGCAAATACCCTTTTTGGCAAAAGAACAGTTACTCATTCACCTTTAGATCCTGATATGCTCGTCTTTCAGAACCATCACTCAGCTAGCAAGGAATTTGGGAAGGCTTCTAGTATTGGAATAATTCCTGCTCATCACAAGATTTCCAAGATATCTTTAATACTTGCCACCCCTTGGACATCCTTTCCTATTAAAGTAGTAAGAGAATTCAGAAAACAGCCAGCTCCTTCAGTTGTGATCAAAGCTTCATGTTCAGATATGAGTGGTTCTACCTTACAGTCAGATTGTAAAGGCTCTAGCATCTTCTTGTCCATCAACCCTGTTTATTGTCCTGAATACCAGCCTTCACAAGAGTCAAAGCATCTTCATGACCCAGATGCTGCAACAAATGCAAGTCAAGCTTCATTCTTAACAAATAGGCAGGCATCATCTCATGGACACGGTGAGAACACATGGTGTCCGTCTATCTCAGTAAAAATTGCTTCCTTTGGAACTGGGAGAAAAGTGGTGAAGATTTCCATTCCATTTTAGAAAAATGTACTCTCAAGTGTAATTTGTTCTGGGATTAGTTTTAACTGACAGTATTATCAATTCTTATGTTAATTTGTTGCAAAAGTTTCTAGGAATGGTTAAAGCCTTCAAAAGTACTTCTGTTTTCTTAAAGTAGGATGATTAGGAACTGTCATACTGTAGAAGTGAGTTTGTTTCTTCTTGATATTGGAAGTCTATTTACCAGTTGTTGCTTAAATTCTGCTGTTTCACATGGAGTATAACAAGTTCAGTACTTCAGTAGCTCTAAATATTGGGCTTTAGTGAAATAGACTTCTCTGTGTGTGTGTATGTTGTGTGTGTGTGTGTGTGCACATGTGTGTGTATACACACATACATACACACACACACACACACATGTATGCATACAACAAATGCTGTTCACATTTATTGAATTTCCGAGTATTTTTGTATATAGGTATGTATATACTCTCTGTAAACTGTCACCAGATTTTTAGCAGTAAGAACCATGAATGTACTTAGACAGAGAGAGAGAAAGACTGTGTATGCATAGATACATATACACATATATTTTCAAACCAAAAATATATTATTATTTTTTTCTAAAAATGCCGTATTGGTTTGTCAGCTTATACCAGGCAAAAATAGATTTGGAAATGGATCTGGTTTTGGGACAAGATTTTAGAGCCCTTCAATGTTTAATATTAGTTTTAGCTGAAGAAAATTCAATAGGAACAAATTTAAAAATCCATTTGTGTATTACGCAGTATACAAAATGTAGGTCTTCTCTTAGGTTTACATTCTGACAGCAGATTGGTGGAAGGTGGAGTTTTAAACAACTTCTATGAAAGAAAAAAGAGAGAATTCAATAGAGAATTGTCTGATTTGAACAATATATTTCTAGTTGTCATTATTCCATATATGCATTTTGCTCACTTTAAAAATGTCTTCTGAAAGATATCTTGATTTTTCTTAAATTTTATTGTTTCTTGATAAGGTTTGCCTGAGAATGATAAATAAATAAAACCTTAATCATGATTGCATTTCACTGCTCTGTAAATAAGATGATAAATCCTGACATTGGATCATGTTTCATACTTTGTGGGATATTTTGATGTTATGGAGAATATTTCAAAAATAAATATTGTTTAGTTCTAGAATGCAGAACCTGCTTTCCTAACTGTATGAAGTTTCTAGTCTATTCTCTCCTTTTTTTTTAATGGAAAACCCTTGTGTATTATTGCAACGGGGCATTGGGCGTACCATTCTTCAGCCTGTGATAAGCTGACAGATACTTGAAGTAATGACCTCAGGAGCTGTAATGTTAAATATGAAATGCCACTCTGAATCTTGCTTTCATTAGTGGGCTGTTCAAATTCGCTGCTGTATTTACATAGTGGTGTTGTCTGTGTCTGCAGCTTTGAATGGCAGCTATAGTTTGATACATAAATGCTCTGCTTAAGATGGGATTGAAAGGTGGGGGGGAAATCCCCTTTCCAATACGTCCTTGTATTGATACCCTTCAAAGGGGTGGGCGAATGGCAACACCGCTGAATCTAGAGAAAAATTCTGGACAGAAGGTCCTGGCTCCAGTCTGCATTAGGGTGTAACTCAATATGTGAAGAAGTCTCTTTGGAACTGCTTGACCTGTTGTCTTCTCAGATATCATCCTCAGATAAGAACATGACAATCTGAATGGATTCTGTTTAGAAAGGCTACAAGGAAAAGAACAAGGGGAGGTTCTGTTATGTGGATAGCTCTCTGTTCACATGACACTGGATGGAATCCCTTGTTAACACATATCTTCATGTTTATTGTGCATTTACCTTAAGGTATTCAATTTCCTGTGTTATAAATGTTTTGCAGCTATTTGCTTTATGAGCACTTGCTATGTTAATATAAAATGAGCTACTATAATTTTCATATATTAAAGATGGTAATTTTAAAGAGAAGATAGCAGTGTAAAATACTTGCACAAGGGGGCATTCTGTTCTCATCTGTGTTCCACTTCAAAATGTATTTATCTACCTATTTTATTTATGGAATTACTCAACTTGGTATAAGACAGAAAGTGGGTATAGCAATCAGTCTTTGAGAATGACACCAGAGTCCACAAGCATACCATATTAAAAACAATAGAAATCAAAAATGTTTTTAAAAAGAATGTCCATTTTAGAAGAAAACATTCAAGCAATATATATAGTCCCAGAAGAGGCTTGCTACTCACCCTAACCCAAGGCCTGGGGAAAAGGCAGGTTTTCAAATACTTTTTAAAAATAGTCAGACTGGTGGCTTTGTGGAATTCTGTTCAGAGAGCAGATATCATGACAGAGACCGCTTGCTTCCTTGATCCTATCAGGTGACATTGTTTAATCAAGGGGACCCATTAAGTGCCCACTCTCTCAAATCTTTCAGGCAAGCAGAAACTATTGGAGATAAGCAGTCCTCAGATAGCCAGGGTATTTAGAGCTGGTGACAGCATCTTGAATATCATCAGAAGCTAATTGTAAACAGTGCAGCTTGCTGAGGGGCAGTGTTACATGGGTATATCATGGCACATTCATCACTAGCAGTGTGCTGCAGCTGTCAAAAAAAGGCCACATTTCTAGGTTGCATTAACAGAAGAATAGAATCAAGGTCATGTGATGTGTTTATATCATTTTAGAAGACCTTGGAATACTGCATTCAGTTTTGGTCACCACGATGTAAAAAAGATGTTGAGACTCTAGAAAAAGTGCAGAGAAGGGCAACAGAAATGATTAGGGGACTGGAGGCTAAAACATATAAAGAATGGTTGCTGGAATTGGGTATATCTAGTTTGATGAAAAGAAGGAGTAGGGATGACATGACAGCAGTGTTCCAATATCTCAGGGAGTGGCCACAAAGAAGAGGGAGTCAAGTTGTTCTCCAAAGCACCTGAAGGCAGGAGAAGAAGCAATGGATGGAAACTAATCAAAGAGAGAAGCAACCAAGGAGAAGAAATTTCCTGACAGAACAATCAGTAGAATAAGTTGCCTCCAGAAGTTGTGAATACTCCAATACTGGTATTTTTTAAAAAGAGATTGGACAACCATTTGTCTGAAATGGTATAGGGTTTCCTGCCTAAGCAGGGGATTAGCCTAGAAGACGTCTATGGTCCATTCCAACTCTGTTGTTCTACTCTACTCTACTCTACTCTACTCTACTCTACTCTACTCTACTCTAC